ATATTCTTCTTAGTCTTTTGAATGTAATTATCTTTACGTGTGGTTCGAGACAAAGAGACAATGGATTAAAACACGTGAATATCAGCCATGAATGGCAATGGAGTACCGAATTCGATGAAACTGTAAGGTCTGGAGACGGTGTGGACACGCGATCCGTATTGGGTTTTGAACTCATTTTGCAAGTCTTCCAGAAAACTAAACGCCAATCGCTTCGAGAAGGACTTCTCGCATAGGATTAGATAACAGACTTGACTGTCGATTAGGTAACTATCGGACGGACAGACAGGACAACCAGATTATCATCAAATGGTGTCAATGGTGCCGACAGTTGTGTCGATCACTCACTGGAACAGGTATTGTCCGCTCTCTATAGTCATCTGTGGCGGCGACTGAGCGTTCAGTTTGCGGAACAACATCTTCGCCTGATTTTGGTACTCGAGAACCGATCGTCCGATCTGTCGGTGCCATCCATGCCGTCATCACATCACATGAAATACAGGATTAATGTCAATGTTTTGGTGGTGACAATAGGGCCGGCAGTTTGGGACCATTACCTGTTGGTCGTCCTGAACCGATGCGGCCAACGGCAGGCCGTCCGACACTCTGGCAATCATTGTCATTAAAACCATGTCATCGACTGATTTGTGGGTCACTTCTTGTGGTCAATACTTAAACAGCGATTAAATTGTCTTATTTTGAATCAACGCTTATGTGACGTGTCTTTCAATACAAATGTTTGTGTTTATTGTGAAAACACTTTATCACTGCATTGTATGCCATTTATTTTCACTCTCTATTCCTATGCCTGTCGTATCCACTTTCACTGCACTACTCCAATGTAGATGTCTATGCATTTTGGTTGTATGCCTGTAGTGTTGTGAAGTGAATCGAGTTTCAAAGGGGCAGTTGATTGATGCGAAATGAACATTGGGAGTGGTGTTGAGTACAGGGAGTACTAAAAACATTATTTATTTATTGAGAGTTTTGGTGATGAAATGAATTGAAATGTTGAGGAAAATTCAAACAATTATCATGAATCATGATCAAGGTAACTATAATAACCAACTTTTGATTAGTTTGTTTCCTATACGGAAACTACAAAATTGAGTTTATCCTTAAAACGGTGTATATTTGCGCGAATTTATCAGTTATTATAGACTTTCCAATACTTTTCGTTTTCATTTACAAAAGTTTTGTCAACTTTTGCAATGAGTTTATAAAATATATAATTATTTTTCGTATAATATGTGACATTAGTTGTCAAGAGAAATCTCATAATCAATCACTTCACTCATCACCTATTAATAGAAATTAAGAAAAAATATATTGGATTAAGAGTTAAACAATTATGATAGCATACCCTCAAACCATGTTAGGCCTACCCGTGGAATTCCATCAATTCTCTATACTTCTTACTAAAAAGTTTTGAAACTCCTAGTGATGACCGTCTAATCACATCCTTGATAATGATTAACACGTTTTATTGATTTAAATAACAAAAATTAAAGGCAAACATAATTTGTATAACAGTTAAAACTTTATTAGCATTTATATTACTAAATGTCTCGTAAGCTTACATTGAAATACAATTGAAACGAGAGTTTCAATGAAAAAAGCTTTTGTTCTCAAATTTTGATGTTTTAAAGCATAATAAAAAAAACAGTTAAATTAGTTGCTTAAACTACAATGTCTGTAGTACACAACTGCCTGTCATATTTTGTTTGGCAATTTTAATGCCATTTATTTATTATTTTAAAAAACTATTGAAAAAGTTTTCGCTTAAAAACTTATTCAAAAGTCTATAAAAACCATATCTTAAGGACGAGAGAAACAAATGAGCGCTTAATATGGTTACGAATGTTGAGTGAATAAATCACTGGACTCTGTAGTACCAGTTCCCCTGCATAGGCGTAATGATATTGTGCGGGGGGTTTGTGCTCTGAAGGGTCACCGACGGCATCCCACGATTAGGTGGTCGGGCGTACGGGTGGGGGCCGTTGGGCAGTAGGACGCGACGGTTCACACGATTCGGATCGTAATAAGTGTTTGTCTGCAAAGCAATTAAAATTTATTTTTCATATAATGTTTGATTTATACCAATAAATTGCAAAATTTCTTCCCAACTCATCCTCTAATAACAAAACATCTGTTCATTCCTTCAAAATAATAGGTTTTGATTCACAA